TAGTTTTGGGGGCCACCATTCAACCCACTACACCTTCCCAGAAATAAGATTTATGAAGTCTTTTGCAGCCATCATCAAAGGTGGAGCAGACAAAATGAAATTCAATCCCTTTGAGACTTCTGACCGAAGCAAGAACTGCAAAAGGCATTTCAATGCACCTTCCCACACTCTCAGGAAGATGATGTCTTCCCCTCTTTCCAAAGAGCTGAGACAGAAGTACAACGTTTGATACAAGACCATCCAAAAGGATGATGAAGTTCAGGTTGTGTGAGGACACTATAAAGTCAGCAAATTGGCAAAATAGTCCAGGTTTACAGGAAGAAATATGTCATCTACATTTAACGGGTACAGCAGGAAAAGGCTAATGGCACAGCTGTCCCTGTGGGCATTCATCCAGCAAAGTCATTATCACTAGGCTAAAACTGGACAAAGAACACAAAAAGATCCTTGAACAGAAAGCCAACTCCCGCCAAGTAGGAAAGGAAAAGGGCAAATACAAGGAAGAAACAGTAGGGAAGATGTAGGAATAAAATAATTAGCTTTCATTAAAACTTGAAAGTAAAAAGATTATGATACCCAATTATAGAATTATCCCCATTTCCTAACAATCCAATCCAAAGCAAAAAAAACCCCCACTTTCTTAAACTGTCCCAAAATCACCTAACACAAGCCGAAATCTACAAGTCTTTTCTAAAACTATCTTACTAAAGTGCCCAACAGTTCCCTACATGTATGTTCTCCCTCACTACAATGATTAACAAATCCAACTTTTGCAATTACTGCTGTGTTCCTGGTAATCTTTGGCTGGAAGGCATTGACACATGGATGTGCAGTTAGAAAAGGAAGGAGTGGGTTGGGCACAGTGGCTCACACCTGTAATCCCAACACTTTGGGAGGCTGAGGCAGGTGGATCACCTGAGGTCAGGAGTTCGAGATTAGCTTGGCCAACATGGTGAAACCCTGCCTCTATTAAAAATACAAAAATTAGCCAGGCATGGTAGTACACACCTGTAATCCCAGCTACTTGAGATCATTTGAACCCAGGAGATGGAAGTTACGGTAAATTGAGATGGTGCAATTGCATTCCAACCTGGGTGACAGAGTGAGACTTCATCTCAAAAACAAAACACAGAAAAGCTAGGAGTGGTCAGGCGCAGCAGCTCACACCTATAATCCCAGCACTTTGGGAGGCCGAAGTGGGTGGATCACCTGCGGTCAGGAGTTCAATAGCCTGACCAACATGTCGAAACCCTGTCTCTACTAAAAAAGTACAAAAAATTAGCTGGGTATGGTGGCACATGCCTATAATCTCAGCTACTCAGGAGGCTAAGGCAGGAGAATTGCTTGAACCTGGGAGGTAGAGGTTGCCGTGAGCCAAGATCACACCATTGTACTCCAGCCTTGGCAACAAGAGTGAAATTCCATCTTTAAAAAAGGGGTGGGGGGTGTTATTGTGGACGTTTTTCTCTGATACGCCAAAATTCAGCAAGTGATGATTTCTCAAGACAGGGTCTCACTCTGTCACGCAGGCTGTAGTGCAGTGGTGCAACCTCAGCTCACTGCAACCTCCATCTTCTGGTTTAAGCAATTTTTCTGCCTCAGCCTCCCGAGTAGATGGGATTACAGGCAACTGCCACCACATCCGGCTAATTTTTATAGTTTTAATAGAGGCGGGATTTCACCATGTTGGCCAGGTTGGTCTTGAACTCCTGACCTCAGCTACCAGCCTCAGTCTACCTAAGTGCTGGTATTACAGCAGTGAGCCACCACACCCAGCCAACAAGTGAAGATTTCTTTAAAATTACTTGCAATGTGGAATCTGAAACCATATCAATAAACATTTCATACTCTGTTACATTAAAACCCATGAGGGTAGGCCAGGCACAGTAGCTCACACCTGTAATCCCAGTACTCTGGGAGGCCAAGGCAGGAGAATTGCTTTAAGTCAGGAGTTGAAGACCAGCCTGGCCAACATGGTGAAATCCCATCTCTACTAAAAATACCAAAAAACAAAAATCAGTCTATTTTGCACTTTGGATCATTTGTCCAGGCATAATTTTGAACATCATTCATTGACCACTTGAGAAATGTTGGTTCACTGAATTATGCAGACCTTTTGAATGTTGATACATTTCATTATACATTTATTAACCACACCTTTTAATATCACCACCAGTCTCATCAGAAAATCTCATTACGCTTTAGGAAGACGTCAAACTTACAGCAATGAACATAAGATTTATTTTTAGGCCAGGCGTGGTGGCTCACGCCTGTAATCCAGGTACTTTGGAGGCCAAGGCGGGCAGATCACCTGAGGTCGGGAGTTCAAGACCAGCCTGACCAACATGGTGAAAGCCTGTCTTTATTATAAAAAATAAAAATTAATAAAAAATTTAAAAAAATAAATGAAAAAAAGATTTGTTTTTATTGCTATTATAATTTTACTTTTTTTAGAGACAGGCTCTCACTCTGTCACCCAGGCAGGAATGCAGTAACACAATTATAGCTCACTGGAACCTTCAGCTCCTGGGTCAAGAGATCCTCCTGCCTCAGTGTCTCAAGTCACTGGGACTATAGGTTTGTCCCAACACTCCAGGCTAGAATATAAGATTTCATAAATTTGAATTTTCACTTGAAACTCAAATTTTTTCACCAGCGGGGTGCAGTGGCTCATGCCTGTAATCCCAATATTTTGGGAGGCTAAAGTGGGCGGACACTTGAGGCTAGGAGTTCAAGACCAGCCTGAACAATATAGCAAGACCCCATCTCTACTTATAAACTAAATTTTAAAACAAAATGTTTATCACCGACAGCAAATATTGAAAGTTGTTTTCCCCAAAGTGGCAGACTCACTTCAATCATTTTCAAGAATATATCTGCCAAATACCCGTGTCTAAATAACCAAGAATGGGCTGTTAGTTGCCCTCTCCAGTAAAAAAGGTGTTCCTTGGGAAAATTTTAAAAGCTGATTCTGGCCGAGTGTGGTAGCTCATGCCTACAATCCCAGCACTTTGGGAGGCCGAGGTATGTGGATCACCTGAGGTCAGGAGTTCAAGACAAGCCTGATCAACATGGTGAAACCCCGACTCTACCAAAAATACAAAAATTAGCCAGGCATGGTGGCAGGTGGCTGTAGTCCCAGATATTTGGGAGGCTGAGACAGGAGAATTGCTTGAACCCTGGAGACAGGTTGCAGTGAGCCGAGGTCACACTACTGCACTCCAGCCTGGGTGACAGAGCGAGACTCCGTCTCAAAAATAATAATAATAATAATAATAATAATAGACTCACAATTCAGCATGACTGCCAAGGCCTCAGGAAACTTAGAATAATGGTAGAAGGGGAAGCAAACATGTCCTTCTTCACATGGTAGCAGGAGAGAAAACAAACGCCCAGCAAAGGGGGAAGCCCCTTAAGAAACCACCAGATCTCGTGAGAACTAACTCACTATGGTGAGAACAGGATGGGAGAAACCATCCCCATGATTCAATTACCTCCCACTGGGCCCCTCCCATGACTCAAGGGGATTATGGGAACTACAATTCAAAATGAGATTTGGATGGGGACACAGCTCAACCACATCAAGGGGTATCAGAAAGAAAACAAGCCAGAGATCATCCACTGGCCTGAAACTGCATCCATCCATGTTTTATTTGCTCTGATTTCCATCACCTGCCTGGCCCCCTGAGGCATTTGAGTTTGTGACATATGACATTTTGCTAATCATCTTCATTATAGAATTCTCCACTTCAGCCAAACAGCAATGGTTTAATGTCTGAGAAAGAGCAATCTCTCAGACGTAGAGGAATAAAGAATTTAGCATTTTCCATCACTGGATGATAAGTCACTTATTTAAAGGTTTTATATGTGAAACCTCAAGGCTAAGTGGACAGGGGGCTGGGAGTGGATTTTAGGAGTTTTCACAGGTACTTTTGTTATAGTAGACAGCCAGATCAGACATGAGCAGGGTAAGAGAGCCCTCCCCACCCTCCGCCCACCCCCGCACCACCACCACCACCACCACCACCACCACCAGGAATGTCAGGTGACCATCAGGTGATGGTCAGGTGGTTGTTAAACCCTCTCTAAAATAATAATTGTTCACAGCCAGTACCAGGGAAAGGCAGTCTCCCAGTAGATAAAAAGCACCTGAAACTAGTGATCAGCAGCTTCCTGATAAGATCTTAGTTGGGAAAGTGGGTTCAAGCATGAGCATTAAGAAGCAAAATGACAGAGTTTAACGTACATGACCACCTTCTAAGGATATGTGGCTGGTAAGGGAACAACACCCCAAGTGAGCACGTGGACAGCTCCAGTAGACTCACTGTGTGTGCTCACCTACCAGGTGCTAGCAGGCCACTGCACATAAGCGCAGCCCACCCCAAGAGAAGACTCAGGGGAGAAGGGAAGCCAGCCCTTAGAAGTATGCCAACATATAAAACCCCAAGTCAAAAGGTCAAACCACACACTTGCCTTTCAAGTTGCCCACTTGGCCCTCTTCCAAGTGTACTTTCCTCTCTTTCCTGCTCTAAAGCTTTTTTTTTTTTTTTTTTTTTAGACGGAGTTTCGCCCTTGTTACCCAGGCTGAAGTGCAATGGCGCGATCTCGGCTCACCAAAACCTCCGCCTCCTGGGTAGCAGGGATTACAGGCACGCGCCACCATGCCCAGCTAATTTTTTGTATTTTTAGTAGAGACGGGGTTTCACCATGTTGACCAGGATGGTCTCGATCTCTTGACCTCGTGATCCACCCACCTCGGCCTCCCAAAGTGCTGGGATTACAGGCGTGAGTCACCGCACCCGCCCGCTTTTTAGTAAACTGTCACTCCTGCTCTAAAACTTTCCTCGGTCTTTCCTTCTGCCTTACGCCCTTAGGTCAAATTCTTTCTTCTGAGGAGGCAAGAATTGAGGTTGGTGCTGACCTGTAGGGATTCGCCCCTGGTAACATATCTTGGTGCTGTGTGACTCATATACTTTCCACCGCTAACATACTTCCCTTACCAGTTTAGCATTCCCAGAAGAAGGTCATATGCCAGTTAAACGCCATCATTTTGTCTCTTAATGCGCATGCTTGAACCCACGTGCCTAACTCCTGAGATCTTATTGGGAAGCTGCTGATCACCAGTTTCAGGTCTTTTTATCTTTTGGGAGACTGCCTTTCCCTGGCTCCAGCTGTGACCAATTATTACTTTAGCGAGACCATTTAATAACCACCGTACCCTCACCTGATGCTTGCCTGACATTCCTAGTGGTGGTTGGTGGGGGACGGTCTCTCCTACCCAGCTCATGTCTGACTCACCACTACCTACTGTGACACTCAGGGTTATCTGTTGTCCTGGATGTCTCGGTGTGCCTGCTTGATGCTCTCTCCACCTTACCCACCATGCTCTGTGCCTAGGACTCCATCAGCAATAGGCTGACTTGCTCTCTGACTTTGAGCTGGGTTCAGTTAAAGGTGGGAGCTGCTGGTAGGAGACAGAAGATGGAGCAAGAGAACAAGGTCAGGTTGTTTGTTTCCCATCAGGGTCACTTCAAACATCTATACTCTGTCAGGTGACATTGCCCACACAGCTTTCTCCGACTCTGCGTTCCTGTAACTAGTTCCTCTCATGGCCACTGTAGACCTAGGAATGGAAACAACCTGCTATGACAAGTCTTGAGTGTTGCCCAATCTATTGTGGAGGTCAACCTCACAGTGATAGCTTCACAGAGTCCCGTTTTTTTTTTTTTTGAAACAGAGTCTCGTTCTGTCACCCACACTGAAGTGCAGTGGTGCAATCTTGGCTCACTGCAATCTCTGCCTCCCAGGTTCAAGCGATTCACCTACCTCAGCGTCCTGAGTAGCTGGGACTACAGGCACAGGCTGCCACACCTGGCTAATTTTTTGTATTTTAGAAGAGATGGGGTTTCACCGTGTTGCCCAGGCTGATCTCAAACTCCTGAGCTCAAGCAATCTGCTCTCCTCGGCATCCCAAAGTGCTAGGATTACAGGTGTGAGCCGCTGTGCCCGACCCAACTTTTTCTACTTTTCAATAACCCAACTTAATTTCTCTTTCAGCCCCAATCCTCTAAGGTTGCAGAAACATAAGTTAAATCAGTGCAGGTTGCCCCCAACAATTAAAATACAATTAATAGGCACAAGAATAGAATGACACACTAGGAACTTGATAGCCAAGAGGAGGGACACCTAACAAAAACCTCAAAGGAGAAAAAAAAGAAATGTCAGGGAACTTCCTGGAGAGTATGATGTGTTTGAGATGAGACAAAACAGCTGGGCGTGGTGGCTCACGCCTATAATCTCAGCACTTTGGGAGGCCGAGCAGGGAGGATCACCTGAAGTCAGGAATTTGAGAGCAGCCTGGCCAATATGGTGAAACCCCGTCTCTACTAAAAATACAAATACTAGCCGAGCGTAGTGGTGGATGCCTGTAGTCCCAGCTACTCAGGAGGCTGAGGCAGGAAAATCGCTTGAACCTGGGAGGCAGAGGTCTCAGTGAGCCGAGATTGCACCACTGCACTCCAGCCTGGGAGACAGAGTGAGACTCCATCTCAAATAAATAAATAAAGTTAGCCAGACAAAGAAAGGAAATGGCATGCCAGGCACACAGGCTGAGCAAAGGCACAGAGGCAAGAAATAGCACAATGTGTAGGAGACTTCAGCAGCACATATACTAAAATTGAAGCAATACAGAGAAAATTAGCATGGCCCTGCACAAAGATGTCATGTAAATTCATGAATCATTCCAAACAAAGCAAACAAACAAATAATAACAATATTTTTTAAAATATATATTCAGGCCAGGCATGGTGGCTCACGCCTGTAATCCCAGCGCTTTGAGATGCTGAGGTGGGCAGATCACCTGAGGTTGGGAGTTCGAGACCAGCCTTAGACCAACATGGAGAAACCCCATCTCTACTAAAAACACAATATTAGCCGGGCATGGTGGCTCATGCCTGTAATCCCAGCTACTCGGGAGGCTGAAGCAAAAGAATCGCTTGAACCCAAAAGTGGAGGTTGCCGTAAGCCAAGATCGCACCATTGCACTCCAGCCTGGTCAACAGAGCAAGACTCTGTCTCAAAAAATATAAATAAATAAACAATCAGACTTGGTGCAGTGGCTTATGCCTGTAATCCCAGCACTTTGGGAGGCCGAGGTTGTCAGATCCCTTGAGGTCAGGAGTTTGAGACCAACCTGGCCAACATGGCAATACCCCATCTCTACTAAAAATACAAAAATTAGCCAGGTTATGGTGATGTGCACCTGTAATTCCAGCTACTCGGGAGGCTGAGATATGAGAATTGCTTGAACCCAGGAGGTAGAGTTGCAGTGAGCCAAGATGGTACCAGGGAACTCCAGCCTGGGCAACAGAGTGAGACTCTATTTCAAAAAAAAAATTAATGTTGTGGGATTATAAGGTTCAAGGCAGGAAGAGATGAGAGACAAGGACTCTGCTTATAACAGGGGAAGGACTTTGAACTCTGTCTTACAGGTCAGTGGTCTACAAGGAGGAGTACACACCACCCATGTGCAGAAGAAAGTTCACTGGAATACAGGAAGAAAATGTTACAACTTCTATCTTGTGTTTCAGTGTTTGTCTTTTCTTTTCTTTTTTTTTTTTTTGAGATGAAGTCTTGCTCTGTTGCCAGGCTAGAGGGCAGTTGCACGATCTCTGCTCACTGCAATCTCAGCCTCCCAGTTCAAGCAATTCTGCCTCAGCCTCCGAGTAGCTGGGACTACAGGCATGCACCACCACGCCTGGCTAATTTTTGCATTTTTAGTAGAGACAGGGTTTCACCATGTTGGTCACGATGGTCTCGATCTCCTAACCTTGTGATCTGCCCGCCTCCCCCTCCCAAAGTGCTGTAATTCTAGCTACTAGGGAGACTGAAGCAGGAGGATGATTTGAGCCCAGGAGTTTCGAGACCAGCCTGGCCAACATGGCAAATCCCCGTCTCTACAAACAATACAAAAATTAACTGGGGGTCATGGCCTGTGCCTGTAGTCTCAGCTGCTTGGGAGGCTGAGGTGGAAGAATAGCTTTGAGCCCTGCCTCAAAAAAGAAAAAGAAAAAATTAGGCTGGCATGCTGGCTCATACCTGTAATCCCAGCACTTTGGGAGGCCAAGGTGGATGGATTACTTGAGGCTAGAGTTTGAGACCAGCCAGGCCAACATGGTGAAACCCTGTCTCTACCAAAAATACAAAACATTATCTAGGCATGGTAGTACATGCCTGTAATCCCAGCTACTCAGGAGGCGGAGGCAGGAGAATCACTTGAATCCAGGAGGTGGAGGTTGCAGTGAGCTGAGATCATGCCACTGCGCACCAGCCTGGGTGACAGAGCAAGCCTCTATCTCAAAATAAATAAGTAAATAAATAAATAAAAAATAAAAATGGTGGCTGGGTATGGTGGCTCATGCCTGTAATCCAAGCACTTTGGAGGCCAAGGAGGGCAGATCACCTGAGGTCAGGAGTTCAAGACCAGCCTGACCAACATGGTGAAACCCTGTCTTAAAAGAATAAATAAATAAAAATGGTTTGAGGAAAAACTATTCTTTTCACTATAAAACTATTCTTGCAACTTTTCTTATAAGCTTGAAATAATTTCAAAAAAAAGGAAAAAGAAAAAAATAAGAGCAGAGCTTAAAGGACTGTTAAGAGAATGTAACTCGAGAGAGGCAATGTCAGAGGCATTTGAACCAGAGCAACTCCATCTTGAATTGGGGCTGGGTAAAATAAGGCTGAGTCGGCCAGGTGCAGTGGCTCACGCCTGTAATCCCAGAACTTTAGGAGGCTGAAGCAGGCGGATCACTTGAGGTCAGGAGTTCAAGAGCAGCCTGGCCAATAACGTGAAACCCAATCTCTACTAAAATTGCAAAAATTAGCCAGGCATGGTGGTGAGCACCTGTAATCCCAACTACTCAGGAGGCTAAGGCAGGAGAACAGCTTGAACCCGGGAGGCAGAGGTTGCAGTGAGCTGAGATCACACATTGCACTCCAGCCTGGTCAACAGGCGAGACTCCATCATAAAAAATATAAATAAATAAATAAATAAATAAATGGAGCAAGACTCCATCATAAAAAATAAAAAATAAGACTGAGACCTGCTGGACTGCGTTCCCAGGTGGTTCTCAGTCACAGGATGAGATAGGAGGTCAGCACAAGATACAGGTCACAAAGATCTTGCTGATAAAAGGATGCAGTAAAGAAGCCAACCAAATCTCACCAAACCAAGATGGTAATGAAAGTGACCTCTGATTATCCTCACTGCTCATTATATTTATTTATAGTTATAATGCATTCATATGCTGAAAGACTCCCACCAATGCCATGACAGTTTACAAATGGCCATGGCAACATCAGGAAATTACTCTAGATGGTCTAAAAGGGGAGGAACCCTCAGTTCCAGTAATTGCCCACCACCTCCCTGAACACTCATAAATAATCCACCCCTCGTTTAGCATGTAATCAAGAAATAACCATAAAAATAGTCAACAAACGGGCTGCTCTGCCTATGGAGTAGCCATACTTTTGTTTATTTACTTCTCTAATAAACTTGCTTTCATTTTGCACTGTGGACTCACCCCAGTTCTTTCTTGCCCAAGATTCAAGACCCTCTCTTGGAACCTGGGGTCTGGACTGGGACCCCTTTCTGGTTACAGGAGGAGTCAAGAATTACTCCCAGGTAATCCCAACACTTTGGGAGGTCCAGGCGGGAGGATCACTTGAACCCAGGAATTCAGGACTAGCCTAGGCAATATGGTAAAACCCTGTCTCTACAAATAGTCTGGTGCGGTGGCATGCACCTGTTCCCAGCTATTCAGGAGGCGGAGGTGGGAGAATCTCTTGAGCCTGGGAGGTTAAGGCCACAGCAAGCTGAGATAGAGCCACTCCTCTCCAGCCTGGGCGATAAGAGATAGATCCTGTTTCGAAGAAAAAGAATGACTCTCTTAAGTGACTAGGAATCCCAGCTGAAAGTCAGAATACAAAATGTCATGTCTTAAAGTATAGATTAAATATGATTTTTTTTTTTTTTTGAAACAGAGTCTCGCTGTGCTGTCCACCTGCAACCTCTGCCTCTCAGGTTCAAGCAAT